GGTACATAATTTTATAGTATATATAATATTGTTTTATATTTTATTATTAGGTGCAATACAACACAAATTTCCTACAACTACAAAAGCTAGTATTATAGAATTCATAAGCCCATGGATGGCTCAGAGCGAAACCAGAATTAAAAGGCATACCTACATTTTCAGTTATTTTACATTATTATAAGATTTAAATAAACATTTTTTAATATGATTGTATTTATTAATTATAGAAATGCCATTAAAATATCTTCTTTGACTACTTCAGCAATAGATGATGATCCTGCCACATGATCTGACCAGCCTATCTGACTTATAACCAGTTATTTGTTACATCCAAGTGTGGTTATTGTTTTTATTTTATTATACTTATAAGTTGTTATTTTCTTTTATAAATAAGTATTAATTCCAAGTGTGGTTATTGTTTTTATTTTATTATACTTATAAGTTATTATTTTCTTTTATAAATGAGTATTAATTCCAAGTGTGGTTATTGTTTTTATTTTATTATACTTATAAGTTGTTATTTTCTTTTATAAATAAGTATTCAAGTATAGCTATAATTATATAGATTAATGTAAACACACTAAATATACATATCTTATTAGGTATATATATTATTATTTTATTTTGTATTCATTTTATACATATTATTATGCCTAACCATTAAGGTTCTTTATTATTTTATTTAAAATTAATTTTTTTTTTTTTTATGATATTGAATTAAAAATTAATACATGTTTTTTTTTCAATAAACAAATTCTTGCAATATAACAGCCTATATGTGTACTTATATGACAAATTATCATAATGTACCTATACCTATAACAATTATTTTAAATGTTTTTTTTAGCTGAAAACACTGCATTTTTAACATTTATGCATATGTTTAAAAAAACATTTAGGAAGCTTTTACAAAATATATAAAAAATCTTTTTTGTTTATTTAAAAACAACAAAAAAATAATTTAAATAGATTTTAAAGACTATCAAAAAACATTTTTAATAAATTTTAAAAATGTTAATTTAATATATTTTTTTTAATGAAAAAGTGGCCATCAAAACATTGCTGCATATGTTTTAAAAACTTTTTTTATTCTTTTTTTTATATTTTTAAAAACATTTTTTAAATATTTTATTGCTCATAGGGGTTCTGTAAATATGAATACTTTAACCCTTAACTACACGCGCTGGTGTACTTTGTACACCAATATTTTTGTTCATCTTGTTCTATTTTAGTTTTTATTTGTTTTCAGTTATTCTCCTAATCTAACCTTTTCTTATCTAATATGTAATAGTTATTAATCCATTTCAGTCGTCATTTGATGTTTGTAGCCGCACAAACAAGCTCCTTATAAAATATTTTTGTATCGGTGAACGAAATACACCACGCGAGTAATAATGTAAGTAATTTTTACGTCTTATACTGACTGATAATTCCGTATTATTTTTCTAATATTTAATTATTATATAATCAGTATATTATTTAATCATATTATTATTATTATACTAGGTCAAAGCTTACGCCAAATGATGTGAATGACATATTAGATATGGAATCATCGGAAGAAGAAGTGGGAGGTGATGAAGACGACAATGAAGTAAGAATAGTAAATAATAGTGATCATGACAGTAACTCGTGCTTGGAATACAGTTCATTTGAGGATTCCGATAGTGATGACGATAATATTGAGCTCGAATATTTTATTGGTAAAGATAAAGCAACAAAATGGTCTAAGACACCATTGACAAGTAAATTCGCTAAAACTAAAAAAAAAATATAATAAATATAACACCTGGTTCAAAATTTACAATTGAAGAAATTCAAAATGAAGTAGGGGCTTTCCACATAATATTTTCAGACAAAATGGTTGATGAAATTATTCATTACACCAATATGTATATTTCGACAGTTCAAAAAAACTATAAAAGAGATAGAGATGCCAAATTTATAACAAAAAATGAAATGATGGCATTTTTTGGTTTGTTGTTTTTGTCAGGAATAAAAAAAGGGAATCACACCAACTTTCTTGAACTTTGGGCTACAGATGGTACTGGAATTGAAGTTTTTCGGGCTTGTATGAGCTGTAACCGTTTTCTTTTTATTTTGAATTCAATGAGATTCGACGATAGAACTACTAGAAATTATAGAAGATCTGAGGACAAACTAACTGCTGTGAGGTCAATGCTTGATCAATTTGTATATAATTGTAAAACAAGTTACTGCCTTAGTGAATATTTGACCATTGACGAAATGTTAGTCCCATTTAGAGGTCGTTGTAGTTTTATTCAGTATATACCAAGTAAACCTGCAAAATATGGCTTGAAAATATTTGCACTGGTTGATGCAAAATCATTTTATACGGGGAATTTAGAAATTTATTGTGGGACGCAACCAGACGGGCCTTACAATATGTCTTCCAAGCCATTTGATATTGTCATGAGATTACTTGACAATGTAACGGGATCAAATCGTAACCTAACATGTGATAATTGGTATACTAGTTATCCCTTGGCTACTGAATTACTAAAAAAGCAAACAACTATAGTAGGAACATTGAGAAAAAATAAAAAGGAGATTCCAGTAGACTTTCAACCACATAAAAATAAAGCAGTTAATTCTTCATTTTTTGGATTTCAAAAAGAAATAATGATAACATCATATACTCCTAAAAAAATAAAGCTGTAATTCTATTATCAACTATGCATAATGATACGTCAGTAAATAGTGAGACAAAAAAACCTGAAGTTATACACTTTTACAATTCCACAAAAGGAGGCGTGGACACTGTCGACCAAATGTGTGGGAATTATTCAGTTTCTAGGAGAACACGCAGATGGCCATTATCAATATTTTTTCAACTTCTCAACATTGCAGGTATAAATGCAAATATTCTATATAACAATACACAAATAGAAAAAAAACATAAGAATAGGAGGTCATTTCTAAAATCACTTTCAATGAATTTGATGAATAACCACTTGAGTGAAAGATCACAGATGGCAAATCTCCCTACTGACATAAAACATTTTTTATCAAAATATGAAACAAAAGAAGTGGACGTTCAAGAACCTCCGACAAAAATACGAAGTCGGTGTTATTTGTGTGGAAGAGCCAAAAATAGGGTGACAACAATAAAATGTTCTTCATGTCAGAAGTTTACATGTAAAGAGCACGTAAAAGCTGTTGTCAGATGTGAAAGATGTATAATAAGTCAGGATAGTGAGTAAGATTTAATTTAAGTTTGTAAAAATTATTTGACAATAAGTTATTTTTACTTTTATCAATTATAATATAGTAATAACAAAATTTTTTTTTATTAAATTTTTTTTTTATGATTAAATTTAAAACACTATTAAGTAGTACTTTTGTTCTTTTATTAGTAAATAAAGTCAAATATATATGCAATACGACATTGATTTCTGCGTAAAACAAATTGGTGTATAAAATACACCGCGCGTGCAATTATTGAAAAAAAAATGGCGCGTGTAGCTAAGGGTTAATATTGATTATATTAAAATCATGAAATGTATAATAAAAAAAAATTTGAATAAGGTATATGAAAATGAAATACAAAACGACATAGAAAAATCAATATTAAATAATGAAAGCTTTGTTAAGTTCTTTAAATATAAATACTTTAATACTAAAAATAAAAAAAATATTAAAATCATGAAATATAATCTAAATAAAATTCCAATTGAAGGAAATATTTTAATTGTCGATCATGGAAACAATATTTCTGGAAATGGAAAACCTTATGCTTCTAAAATACTAGAATCACCAACATGGCTTGAAATTTGTAAAATAGCTAATGATTTAATAAATACAACCGGTACTTATTTTTTCAAATATCTCCATGATATTTTTGTTGTTCAAGATTTAGGAAATATTAAAATATGTTGTCTTCGCATGGGAGGTACAGATGCCGATCATAAGATGTTTAGAATATAATAATAATATAATTAAATTTTTTAATAGAATTGTTCTATTAAAAAAATGCTCAATATTTAACGCTCACCCGAATAGGGGACGCGTTATTAAAATCCAAAAATCTTTAAAAACAATTTTACACTATGATACAATGAGGGGGACTTATAAAGAATTAAAATTAAAAATGTTTAATGTAAAAATGAAGATTATAACATAAATAGCAACGGAGTTATACTTAAATGAAAAATATGAAGCGGGGGGTAAACTTTTAATATGTAGTGTAGATAAGCATATAAAACATATCTGTGTTGATCCGACTTTATAATATCAAATATTAAATGAAATATAGGACATATACGATCGTGTTATTTTTTAATATTTTTAATAGAAATATGGAAAAAAATGCAAAAAATCTACAAAATCATTCCCAGCTTTGCAGATACCCGTTAGGAAAAAAGGAGGCCGGAACTCTTTTACAGATATCTGCAAAGCTATCGTGGGCAGTGAAGTTACCCAAGCGCTTTATCCAGCAGGACAACGACAGTTTTTCAGTAGATTGCATAGGTGTGTGCAGGGCCGGCCGTAGGTTTTTTGCCGCCCTAGGCAAATCTGATTTAAGCTGCCCTATGCAATAGTTATTTTTTTGGAGAGGAGTGTATTGATAAAATAAGGACATTCATTTTTATCTATGAACCCTTGTTTAATTAAAAAAAAATAAAATGTTTTGACTGACCTAAGTTTTCTTTACAAAATATAAAATAATAATAATAAAATTAAAATAAATGTTGGGTATAAAATAGAACAAGTAATATTTTTGACCATTGTTATACATTCATTATCGTTATCATAGATAAAAAATATGTATTTAATTTAACATTAAAAAATATATAACAAAAAAAAAAAAAATATATTAAATAAAATTAATTTTGCGAGCCTTTTCTTGGGCAAAATCAATCAGTAAATTTTTGAACTCCAGATTTTCCATTACTTCTTTTTCAATAGAAATTGTAGCAAGATCACTTAACCTTTCTTGATTCATAGAAGACCTCAAATAGTTTTTAATTATTTTTAATTTTGAAAAGCTCCGTTCACCAGATGCGACCGACACGGGCATAGTTAAAATAATTCGAAGTGCTACAGCTACATTTGGTACAAAATTGTTATTGTTTACAATAAACTGTAACACTTCTAATGGAGTACTGTTGGGTTTTAATAACTCAGATATTGCTACTAACTCATCTGTCATTTCTATAGCATCAATATCTGAATTACTAACATTTTCATTTTCTGATAGTAGCAATTGAAGATCCATACAATTTTTCACAATGTTATCTTTCGTTATACTTTTTAGACTACTTATATCATACAAAAATTTAAAGTTATCGCAGTGGTTATGTAATTGTTCAAATCTTTCTTCGAGAGAATTGAGAGCTACGTCTAATATATAAAAGTATAATTCAACTTTAAATTTAGTTTTTAAATTAATTATGGGTTCATCTGGTTGTTCATAAGAAAAGAACACAGTTTTCTTTTTTCGTGGGCGTATAGAAGTTTGTTGCCTAAAAGAAGCCTCAATATCCAATTCAAGAGCTATGGTTTCAGCATCTCTTAAGAATTTATCAAAACTCTCATCACATCGAATTTTTTTCAAAAAATTAATTGTTTCAGATAAAATATTTTCTGCGCCAGATATATCTAATGTTACTTTCTGTAACACTTTACTTGCTAGATTTATTTGATTTAAAATTGAATGCCAAATTACAACGCAACACACAAAGTTAAAATTTTTTATTTTTTTAGCTAAAGATTCAGCTTCTAATCGGGTAATTTGATCAAAAGATATATCCTGACTTATTTCGTATAATGCATCAAATATTTCACCTGTTTGATATCTGAATGGTCTAATAGCATCTATTCTACTCTCCCATCTAGTTTCACTTAATGGCTTTAAAGTTAATTGTGTTATATGTTTTTTTAAAACAGCCCATCGACGAGTAGAACCACTTAAAAATACAAATATAGCTTGAATTTGAATAAAAAATTTGCTTGCTCCAGTTGATGATTTAGCAGTATCATTTACAACTAAATTTAGTGTGTGAGCATGACATGGTACAAAAAAAGCACGACTATTTATATCTAAAATTTTTTTTTGTACACCAGAATTACGACCTTTCATGTTTGAGCCATTATCATAACCTTGTCCTCGCATATCCTGTATTGGAATTTTATTTATTTTTAATTCTGACAATATTGCATTTGTAAGTTCTTGACCTGTGGTAATATCAACCGGAATAAACCCAAGAAAATGTTCACAAATATATATTTTTTTTGTATCTCGGTTAATATCAACAAACCGTATAGTTATTGACATTTGTTCTACTCTACTTTTATCGGGAGTACAATCTACAATTATTGAATAATACTTAGCATTTTTTAACTTTTCAAGTATTTTATTTTTAATTGCTCGAGAAAGTAAATGTATAATTTCATTTTGAATCCCCTTACCTAGATAATGATTATGAATCTCCTTATTTTGAATTCTACGAACATGTTCTGATAAAACACTATCAAATTTTGCCAGCAGCTGTACTAGTCCGAGAAAATTGCCATTATTGTTTTCGTAAAGAATATCGTTTGTACCTCGAAAAGGTAAACATTGTTTACCAAGAAATTCAACGATTGCCATTAAACGCTCAAGTACATTTTGCCAATGCCGAGTTTCATTATTTAATACACGTTGATGGGCAGCATCTATGGTTTGATTGCTATTTAATCTAGCAGACAGTTCCATCCATTTTTTTAAAGAATTAAAATATATTTTGCATGTTTCATGTTCTTTAACTATATTGTGTACGTTTTTCCAATCATTACAGCCAAATTTAGTCAGTGCATAATTTTCACTACTAAATATTTTACAACAAAAACAGTACACAACATCATTTTTAACAGAATAAATTAACCACGTACGTTCTATAACTTCACCATTTTTTAATTCTTTACTTAAAATTGAAATTGGAAACCGTCGATTTAACGCATCTCTAGGATATTTAAAATCTTTATTTGGTTTAATGGGACCTGTTTTTACTAATTGAAGTCGTAATGAATTTGAAAAAATCGCTGGCCATGTCCCGGGGTCAGATATGTTATTTTCATTTTCATTAGATTTAATACTCGCATTTTCTTCCAACGTTATGTTTATTTCATTATTGAAAATGTCAATGCTATCGGAAATTTGTTCTGAGTTACCAACTTCTTTTAAACTGTCAGTAACTTCTAAGGTATTTGGTTCTTCTGAAATAATTTTAGAATGTGTTTCTGGATTATTTAAAACTTCATTATTTTTTTTCAAATATTTTTCAAAGGAACCAGAGTTTTTTTTAATTTCTTCATCACGTTTTAATTTTTGTTTTCGATATGCAGCTCCTGATAACCGTATACGTTTTTGCTCTGACATATTCAATAAATATTAACGTGATAATTTAACAAAATTAATACCAATTAAGTGTTGCAGTTATAAATTTATTTTAATAAAAATTGTACACGTTCACGCACTTGGTCTACTATCACTATCCCTCTACGGCAAAAATTATTTACGTGTTCGGCGGGCGGCTGAAAGTCCGGGACTAAATGCCGTTGTGTCATTGACAATTATTTTCCAATTAAATAATAATTTTAAACTCGATAAGAACGTGCATTCGTCTGTGGTCGACTAATGCATGTATTGTTATCGCCGTTCTATTTATATTCATGCAGTATTACGACTTTAGTGCGTTCTCGGTAAACTTTTTTTGTATATTTGAGTAATGAACATACAATTCAGCAGACTATATTATATTATAATTTATAATAATTAAATCACTTTGGTTCATTTGAAATTTGCCGCCCCCACACTAGTGCCGCCCTAGGCGGCTGCCTATTTTGCTACCACATTGAGCCGGCCCTGGGTGTGTGCACCCACCTATACAATCTACCGTAAACGTCTTCAAAGCCTGATGAAATTAGTAGGTGAACATGGGCGCCACACGTTCTCCCACTAGTTTCAATCCGACCAAGAACACATTTTAAATCAAACGCGTTACCGACTGAGCTACAACACTTGGGCATGTATAATGATTATTTAAACACTATTTAAATAATTCGATAAAAAACATCATAATATAAACTATACATATATATTATGATAAGGTATTCAATACCGGATGTTAAAAAAATAATCAGTCCAACGTTGATATATATACAATATTATTATTATTATTATTATTATTATTATTATTATTATTATTATTATTATTATTATTATTATTATTATTATTATACCACACTGTATAGGTACTATAATATTATATATAATACTTCGTAAGTATTATATTCGATTTAAATTTTCAATGTTTAAAAAATAATCAGTCTAGCTCCATATTATTATTATTATTATTCGAATCATATAATTCCTCTTGTAATAATTTACGTAGTTCGTTTATTGAAAGTTTAATTTCATTATAATTTTTGTTTTTAATAAAACTTAAAATATTTTCGAAACAACAATTACTAATGAAACGGAAGTTAAATGATTTTAATTGATTATGTTTTTTGTAATAATCATATTTTACAACATTTTCGTAACAACAATTATCCAATATTTTATTCCATAACTTATTACTAATTTCACAGTCAATATCAATATCAATATCACTATCATTAAATATAGGTCTTAGGATTTTACATTGTTGTTCAATCATATTTAAAAGTGTTTTGATATTTTCCATTTCTATTATTTATATTAGTAAATATATTTTTTTTTAACATCGAATTATTAAAACAACGAGTTGTTAAAAAACAATGTTAACGTAAAAAAAACAACGTCAACGAGTTAACGTAAAAAAACAACGACTCGTTGACTCGTTTACTCGTTTACTCGTTTACTCGTTTACTCGTTGTTAAATATATATTAAACAAGTTGTTATTTTTAATAGAAATATTTCTATAAAAAAAATAAAATATTTAAATAAATTTTTTATAATTTTCAATAAATTCTAAACATAAATGACCACATATAGGTGGATCATTATAGTATTGAAATTGGGAAACAGTACAAAAAAGATTATCTTTACCCAAATATTTTAAAAGTTCTTTTGGTGGCTCACCAACTATATGACCAAATGGATCAAAATATATTTTAAATGTATTGTTTATTTTTTTCCATGCAACCCAATGAGAACCATTTTGAGTAGAATCATTTAAATTAAATACTCCACATTCATTTTCCTATGATGTTGTAGGTAATTCATTTAACATAAAACACCCTCTATAATTTTTTATTTTATTTCCAAAATAATTTATATCTATATTACTCAATGGATCAATTTTTATATTATTTTTTTTAATCCAAAACTGTGTATAAATACCTTCAAATTTTTCAATATTATTTCTAAATGTTGTTATTTCAAATTTATTCATTTTTTCAATTTTTTTTTCAATATTTTTTTTTTTTTTTCAAGCCTGAACCTTGTGATCTAATTTTTTCCATCTCTTTATTATGTCGAATTGTTTCTTGTTCCATTTTTTTTTTGTGTTTAGCATCAGTTACTGCAGTATAAAGTGCACTTGCACCTGCAGCCAAAGCACTTACACCTTCAACCACAGCAATAGCTATTGGTAAAAATCCACCTTTTTTAATTTGAACATGTTTAAGTTCTAAACTTGATCCGGTATTATTTTTTTTAGCGTTTTTTAATTTTCTTATTTGTTCTGGCTCAAGAATAAATTTATGTTTTCCACTATCAATTTGATTATTTTCAATTAGAATTGATACATCTTTATTATTTTTATGAGCTTTCAATATTTTATTAAATTGTTTTTTATTTAAATTTAGATTCATTTTATAATACAAAATATTAAATTAAATTAAATTCTCTTGCAGCTTCATCTAATTTGTTTTTAGGTTTTTTATTTTTTTCTAACTTTGTTCCCGGTCCTAAATAATTATAACCAGGCCAATGCATTTCAGGTAAATTTGAACAATTCAAAAGATAATTAACAATTCCTGAACCTGTAATAATTTTCTTTGGTAAACATAAAACATATGATGATAAATAATCTGCACCGTTAATAGGTATATCAATTAATTTTTCCATTTCTCTAATACAAATATTAAGAATATCAAGTTTTTCATCATGGTAAATATTATTTCCTATACTTTCTTCAATTGATATATACTGTATACGTTTAATTATTTTTTCTTTTGATATTTTCACTTCCTTTGGTAAACAAGTTACATATTTTAGTAAATATTCAATACCTTCAGGAGTATCAATAAGATTTTCCATAATTGATTTAAATAAATGAACAATACCAAGTTTTTCGTTTTTAAAATTATTATTTCCAGCTCTTTCTTCTGAAGAAATAAACTGTAAATTATCTATCACTTGGTTTACATTACTAATATAACGATATTCAATACGATTTTCTGTGTATTTCTTTAAACCCTCCCCTATTTGATTATCTTCAGCTAATATTTCATTATTTTCTTTTTTTTCAATAATTTCATTATCTTCATTATTTTCTTTCTTTTTATTATTTTTTTTTTCTTATCAGTTGTTTCTGTCATTTCTTTCCAAATCGAACTAATCATATAACTATATTTTTCACTACGACTTGATTTAGCTCTTTTCGTTGAAGGATCATTGTTTTGATAAATAGAATTAGTTTCAAATAATATATTTTTATAAATATTAAAATCATCATCATTATAAAATTGTTTGGGTGTAGGAACTTGATGAGTTAATAATCTCCATAAACCTGGTGTTCCTATATATCTTTTTTCATTTAAAATTATATCATCATTATCAAGATCGATTATATCTTTTCCAATCATATAAATATCATCTTTCTCATTAAGATATATTCCAAAAGAATTAGTATCTTTTACAGTTTTTAAATATTTTGATGCAATAGGACCTAAGTTTATAATATTTTTAGGTAATGGAGAATTACTTGTTGAATTTTGACTAGAATATTTTGGAGTTCCAAAAGTCTCTTCTGAACTTGTTAATCGTTTTAACTCTGGATTTCTAGGTTGTATATTTAATTTTTGAATATCTTCTTCAGTTTTAATAGCAACATCTTTAACTGCATTCATTGTTGTATTAACATTTGTTAATGCGTTTATTATTGGTCCAAACTTTTTTTGTTGTTCTTCAAGTACATGTTTTTGTTTTACAATTGTATTTCTAAATCTATCCTGTAAATCTTTCTTAAGATTAATTATTTTATTTACATCTGTAGATTTATATTGTTTTTTTTCTTTTTTAATATTATCTTCATCTTCATCATCTTTTTTTATAATAACAGTCTCTTTTTCATTAGGTTTTAATAATACATCTTTAAACCTATTTTGTAATTTATTTTTAGTATTAATTATTGTCTGAATCTTTACATCTGATGTGTTTTTTAAACTATTTCCTACCTTGGAATTGTTTTGTGTTTGATCATCAAATGAAACATTTTTTTTAATTTTTTTTTTAATTCTTTTTGAATTTGTTTAATATCCATTTATTATACAAAAAATTAAATTAAAACATAATCATTCATCGATATATAAAATCTCATTACCTTTATTGTCATAGATTAAATTTTTTATCAAGTCTATTGTTATGAAACCATATGTTTTTATTTTACTTTTTTTATCATATTTTTTACAATAAGTTCTATTAATTTCTTTAAATTTTTCTAAAGCTACATCTTCACTAATCAAATCGGACCATATTTTTTCAATATAATAATTTGATTGATTAAAAACAATTAAAACATTCAAATTATTTCTTATTGTTTTTATATCTACTGAAGTATAACTTTGTGTTAAATAAATAACACTAATATTCTTTGATCTTGATCTTATAAAATATTCAATTATCATGTCTTGTTTTTCTTTTAGAAAATCATCAAAAATCACTAAACTATTTGGTTCACAATCATCTACAGATATTATTTCATCATTAGAAAAATGTGTGGTTATAGAAGGTATATCATCAAATATTTTTTTTATTTTTTTATAGACTGGTTGATCAATATTTTTTGTAAAAATATATAGATTTAAATAAGGAATCCAATAATTTATAATCAGATTATACAACAAGGTTGTTTTACCACAACCAGATGGTCCTATAATTAAAACACGTGAAGGTAATTCAAATAAAGATTTTTTTTTATTTTCATCTTCAATAAAAAATTTTACTTTTACATTATCCATTTATTAAAAAAAAATATATATTTGGTAATATAAATAAGAAATGGAAAATATTTTAAATAAATATGATAATTATATAATAAATAGTCAATATGAAAGTTATATACCTCAAATTACAACAGAATTGAATAAACCAAACCGAAATACAATAGTTATAGTAGATGGTAAAGATAAATTTCTGAACATTAAAAATTCAAAACTTTATTTATCAT